GGTGTTTCGTGTTAATGATCGTGGGCACAACCCAGCATTATTTTCATCAGAAATCAGTATACTAACATGAGATATATTTAGATATATAATTACTTCAATAGATCAAATACTTTATTGAAGTAACATGAATATTGTCTGAAACTGATGTAGGGAAAGAAACTAGAAAGCAATTATGAATATAAGATGAAATACAAAAAGAAAATATTTCTTTCAAAGAAAACTATTGAAAATGAAGCTAATAAATAAATTATAAGTTCTCTTTAACATATTTAACGATATCACCGATCATTTCATGTGCGATATCTAATGCTAATGGTCCATATAACAAGCCTACTGAGCCATGAAATGCATGTTCATAATGATTATGAACTACTGGAACACCAACACGTTTAAGACGACCTTCATAGATGAATGATTCATCACGTAAACGATCATGACCAACACTTAATATATAAGTCGGCGGTAGTTTAGCTAGTTGTTCGTCTTCAACAAGTAATGGAGAAATTTCCGGACTAAGAACTTTTTTAGCTTTTGCAATAAGACTTGGATCACCTTCCTTATCATCTGTAATAGATTTTTTGTAAACTGTTCGATATTTTGATGGTATTAAAGACCAATCAACATATTTGCGATAATGTTTTTTTTGATTAACACTTGTATGATTATTTGCATATATTGATGCATCAATTTTTTCATTTAAATACATCGATAAAGTATGATCGACAGTATATTGAAAAAATAGGTAATGTTGTTCCATATAAGATGGAAGCATTAAATCGAATAGTTGCAAAAGAGGATATATAAGAATTTGAAGACGAGGCGAATATTGACCGACAGGATGATTAACAAAACGCATGATATTTACAGCAGCCATATTACCACCTGAAATATATGTGTGAAAGATTTTATTTCTGTAATAAAGAAAGAATAAGCATAACTTTGAACATTTTGTTCTTTTCAATTGAAATGTTTCATTAGAAAGAAAAATCGTATGATGCTAATGTTTTTCTAATCGTATTAAAGGAGTAATTGAAAATGGTGTGTTATTTTGTTTTTCATCTGAACTCTTTTAAACAATTGCTGACAATCGATTATTTTGATAGTAAAATGATTGAAAAATTAAGAATGAAGTGATCTGTGAAATAATATACAAACGCTTTTGTATTATTTGTCTCAATATATAGCATAGTATCGTCTATTTCATGTGATTATCGAAAGTAATAAGATGCTATTATTTCTCATAGAGAAGTCATAATAATAAAATAACGAATAATACACAAAAAAAATGGAATAGTTTTTTATTATTTTTATGAAGATCCAAAACACGGCTTAAAGAATCTATTCTAAGTGCGTTCGACAGAGAATTTTTCGCTCTATGCTTCTAAGATATTTGTAAGGCTTCGAATGGTATTGTCTAGGAAGAAAGCAAGGTGAAGCTAAAACCTGATAGTATTTCTTTTGAATGTATTTTCAAAAGTCAGAAGTGTTCTATGAAATATTTATTATTCTACTATCGAGCACAGAATTAAATCTTGAATAGAATAATGTAACGTTTCACTTGAACAACGAAAATCTTTAGAATATGTTTAATTAAGAAACAAACAATAGTGTGAACCTGTCAGAATAAGATTTATTGCGGTGTAAAAAAATGTTTCTCTTAAATATTTTCTCTAAAATCTCGAAACATTGAGCGGTTGAGAATTTATGAAGTATCTTGTGGCATTAGTCAAATCTCGGAGAAGTTGATTTCTAAAAAAAACACTTTAAAATCATTTTTGTGTTGTTTGATCCCCTTAATTGAACCGTTCAGTACTTGTCCATCTTTCGTATTTTCCGTTCATAAGGAAAACATATTGGAAAAATATCAAGTTGACAAATTTTTAGAGCAAAAGATTCTCTATCGAATGAATTATAAGATTGTATTTTTCCTCAACTAGGTGCCAAAGAATCATTGACCCACAAAAAAACACATACCAGCAGAGTCACCAGCTAAAACAACACGATTTCGATCGATACGTAATTTTTTCGAATCACCATGTTTAAGTACATATTTTGCAACAGTATAACAATCGTCGAGGCCAGCTGGAAAAGGATGTTCAGGTGAAAGACGATAACTAAATAAAATATCCATGCATCAAATAATAAATATTTATCATTTAAAAAAAAAAATGCTTACTCAACGGAGATAACTACGACATTGGCTAATCGTGCTAAAGCACTTGTAATTGCATTATGTGAATCTAAAATTTTATTGATAGATATAGAAAAGTTTGTACATACATATTGATCAAACTTACCAATAGAACCCATATAAAAAGCACCACCATGAAAATAAACAATGGCTGGTAAGTTATCATTATTATTCAATGGCCGAACAATTCTAACTGGTACATTTTCAATTAATGTGTTTTCAATCTAAAACTCAAACTAAGAAATATAATTGAAAGAAAATAAATTATTTTTACTTGAAGATCGGCATCTTCTTTTTTATCTTTCAATTGTCGTACTAAGTTAGCAGCTTTTCGAATAACTACAGCTTCACTAGATAAACCTATTAGTTCGAATGCTTTACCCTT